CCCCAGGGCCCCGCTCCCGAGGATGCCGAGCGCGTCCCTCCCGGCCCCAACCAGCGCCGGCAAAAGGCAAATTAATGACAAGTCGCTCGAAGAGTTTGCCTGAAATTATTTTATTCTGCCCGAGAATTGATTACTCCCGGCCTGGAAATATGTCCAAATCAATACGTTAAAGCTCAGGGCAAAAAAGACATGCTCTAGTCCCATTTATTTAATTCACTTTTTTGAGGAATGGCACATAATTTACCGGGTAGGAATTGCTAAGCCTTTCCAGAGCGAGGACTAATGACAAGCCATGGGAAAGCAGTGTCTTCATCCATCTCCCAGGAGAGCTGGTGACAAACTTGGTGGTGGCCAAGACCCCTCAAAGCACCAGGGTGTGCCTCCAGCCACCCCTGCCAGGCAGACGGATACAGAGGTGAACTACGTGGCTCAGGGTGCCAACCAAGGACACAATTTCAAACCTCCCCTTTAGATAAATCTTCTTAAAACAAGACCAAAATCCCTCCCAAAAGGACAACTGCTGCCCAGGTGGCATCCCCTGTTTTCCTCATATTTGTGCATCTAGACCGTTTCCTACAGGTAATGCAGCCTGCAGACAAATACTCACTCCAGGCTAATAAAGCACAAAATAAATATCCAAAACCCACCTACAAACAACCTCATGTGCTGGTTTTGGTAGCAAAGTCTAGGAAAAAGAACAGCCCTGCAAATACTGAACATGCAGGTGTGACAGGCCTCCCACTCATGCTCAAGGTAACTCCCACCAGGCACCCAAAACCTGTGGTACCTTTTCAGGAAAGAAGGAGCATGTCCCAGCATTGGAGTGATGGGAAATGCCTGCCTGGAGGCCCCCGGGCCCCATAACAACTGAAAGCAGGCTGAAAGAAACAGTGGTTCTGGGGTGAGCTGAAAGTGGTGCTGAATGTACACAACAAACACTGAAATTGGGTGAGCAACATTTGTGGCTTGGCCTCAGCGTCGGCAGAGAAACACCTGCACTACCCAGAGTGCCTGGGTGCAGCTCTCTGAAGTAAATGGCACAAGGGACACTGTGCAGGACAAGGACACGTCACATTATCAGGGAATGAGACCCAGGTCTGGAGGAAATGTCAGCCCCACGTGCTGCTCTGCACAGCCAACGCTCCAGACGCACCCTGCGGATGACACGCGCCTGCCACGCGCCCCATTTGCGAATCCTCTGCATGCTCCACGGGGTCCCGGATTTTCCAGGGCATTAAACCCTATCCCCCCTCAAAAAGCTTCATGGCAGCTGTCATCCTGCTCGCGGGGGGTGGACGGGAGGGCTCCTCACTGGAGACCATCAGTGTCACTCCCGAGCCGGTGGTGGGTGAAGGACGAGCTGGCCCTGCCGGCCCCGGGAGCTGCCAGCCCGTGCCGGGGGGGCTGTCACTGCTCCCCGAGAGGAGCTGTGGGAGCAGCACCTGACCCTGAGGTGCAGGGGCCCGGCAGCACACCTGTATGGACCCTCTCGTGGCTTCCCACGGGCGACTCAAGGAGAGGACAGTTCCAATCGCATTAAAACCAGGGAACTCAACCCTTTCTACTCACCATGATCCCTTCAAGAGAACATCTTTATGTAAAACAGAGACATAAAGCAGCAAAACACTGCAAAAATCAAAAGCCAGGGTTTGCTGGCTTCCCCTTGGGCAAATCCCTTCCTACCTGGGATGCTCCATACAGCTCCCAGGGCATCGTGTCCCCAAGCCTGTCCCCTGGGCAGCCTTGGGCTGCAGGAGGATTCCCACTGGCCCCATCTCACAGAGGAGAGATGCCAAGGCAGGAGAGGGAGCCCAAGGAAAGAGCAAAACACAACAGGGCTGGAAGCAAGCCTTGCTGAACCCCAGCCCAGCTCCTGAGAGCCCAGTGAGGGAAAGCAGAGGGTTTCCATCCAGAGAGACCGTCCGTGCCCTGCACGTCTGGCCCTGCCATCGGAGCCCCCTCGGCCCTGGCCCATGGACAAGGGCTCCTGGCTCACACCCTCCTTCAGCTGCAGTTGGCTCTGCTTACAGGGGATTTTTCTAGACTCAAACACTGCTTCTCTCCCATTCAGAATGGGAACATCCATGAAAAGGGGTCATTCATGATAAACTTGTGAGTGCCGGGTAGGAAAAAACCCACTCAGCCCAGGAAACAACATGGCCTTTATGTTTCAGCACTTCTGCCTGAGCCTGCAGGATGCTCCGTGGGTGAGGCAGTGAGGGCTGGGGGGCTCAGCACAGCCCCTCTGCACTCCCTGCCTTGCACAGCTCTCCAGGCACAGCCTCACAGAGAAGGGCAGGGACCAGCAGCATCCAGGGACACATGGCAAGGCTTCCATTCCTTCACTCACCTCCCTTACATCCTAACAGGCACAAATCCCCACATGTGGCAGCAGTGTAAACGAGTTTTATTACTCAATAAAATATTTGAAGCAAAATAAATGGTTTTGTCAAACACTATATCTCCTCAAACAATAATGCACCGGCTTACGAAGAAAAACAACCAACATTCATATTCTATGGCAAAGGTTTATTTCCCCTCCCAGAGGAGAGGGGAACAGGCATTTCAGTTCGGAATTCAGATACTGTATGGGAATACAGTAACTATAGTTCTCGGAGGGTTTGTGCAAATGCCAGCGAAACAACCCCCAAATCAAATTTATTAGCTGGTGGAGATCTCTAACAATCTTACACAGTGACTGATGAAGCCGTCGGGGAATTCCTTTCAACATTAAGTGATTTAAAGCCCCTACAGAAACTTCATTGTCTGTTCCAAGACAGAAAGGGTTCCTTGGTATCCAGTGCTGCTCCAACAGCAGCACTGGGCTGTGTGTTATTGCCAAAGTGTGTTTCCTTTCATCTGGAAAGCAAACCAGGAATCCTAACATCCCTAGTCCTGTGGAGAACCATAAAAGGAGGAAGTGCAAATTCATTAAGAACCACAGCCTGTGTTTTAAAGGGACTGTCTGTATTTTGGTGGCAAGGTTGAGATGCTCACTTCTGCCCTGGGGGTGCTCCCAGGAAACGAGCTGGGTCTCATTCCCCCCCACGGATCAGCCACTGAACACCCACAACCCGCTCGGCACAGGCCAGACCTGCAGGTTTGGACACAGCCAACTCCCACCAGAACCCAGGGCTGCCAGAACTGGGCTGGGCTGGGCTGTGGCAGTGCCAAGCTGCTCTCCTGAGAAAGCACCAGCGATGGCAGCCCGGCTCTGCTCCGGGATGGGAGATGCCCTTCCTCAGGATGCACGGGGGAGGAAGGTGAAGGCACAGCCAGTGCCCCTGGGAGCATCCACACCGCCCAGCCCAGGCCAGCTCCCTCACAACCATTTTTTAAAGCAAACCCAGAAATGCACAACCCTAATTGCCAGGTTTTTATCATGCACACTCATAACTGGGTCATTTGCATTTCAGCTGCTAAAATATCAGGGGGATGTTATTTAATCAATCATCACAGCGTACAAAGTCCTAAGTGAGAGAAGATTTTTTGATTGTCTCTGCTTGTATCTAAACATCTCACAAACCCGCCAGCCAGTTCTTCATTTCAATTAGGGCAATGCTGATCGTTAGCTAACTAATAAGGACCAATTTTCTGTCACAACTATTTCCTAATTAAATTCAAAACAGAGATTTCTAACCCAGATGGTCAGTGATGCTACAGATTTGTTTAAATTTGGTATCACAGTAACAAACTACTAATTAGGGTTTGTAAATACACCAATTCCCTTATGACTTAGTTGTTAGTAATGCATACAACCGGTTTATTAAAGCACTAATTGTGTCTGGCTTTACTTGGGCCTAACACATAATCCACTTATCACATACTGGTACCAACTCATTTTGAAGGGATTATGAATGAAATCATAAATGAGGTCTCACATCCAGTTCCCGGTATGGTTAATAAAGGTTTGGTGTCATATTTAGATGGTTTTCTGCCTGTGATGGAGAGCGGCCCAGCAGTGACGCCGCTGCTCCCTTCTCCAAAGGGTGTTTAATGAAGAAAGTTCTGGATGCCACCCCTGTGCCCAAAAAGGGGTTTCTCCCCCAGCTCTGCTGACCAGCAAATCATCCCAGCAGCCAAGCTCCTCGAAGGGAGCCCCAGCCTTTCCCAGAGAAAGCGCCCACTTGGTTATTGCCCACTGGAGCCAAGCTCAGCCCCTCCATGGGAGCCCCCCAGCCCTTTGCCTGAGACGCACGGGAGACCTCCTGAGACCCTCCCGAACCCCGACCACCTGCTTGTAGAGGGGTGGAGGAGTCCTCCCAGTGCCACCAAACCTGGATTCCCTCTCTCCCTTGCAGAGGGACAGCCCTGGTTTTTGTGGAAAACCTTTGTTCCGAGGAGCACAACCCCAGATAGCCCGTGGGCTCAGTGCCCCTCGGCTCCACCGAGGGTGCATAAAGTAGGAAATAAATGATAGATAACTGTGAATTGCAAGGTTATGTAAACACGGAGGGGGTTTTAGAAGAATCCTATTAAACCACAAAAGAAAAGCATGGATGGTTTATCACATCACTAAGACCCAAGAATGCATTAATAAATAGAAGAATAGATAATGAACCGTGGAGTACAAGGCTAAACTATCTGCTATTGTGAGGATCCTGTGACAGTAGAAACAATGAAGGGGAAGAAAAACCTTTGTTGGTCTGTCACCAGAACCTTGTAGTGTATCTTTTATAGCCTATTTTTAATGAATTCACAGCACCTATCAGTTATTCTCTGCCCAAATCCCTCATTTTCCTCCCTCCTGAATGCAGATTCCCATGCTGCACTCTGCCTTCACCATGACGTCCCCCCTTAAACTCAGGGTTTCTCTGCCTTTCAGTGGCCTTTCAGCCACAGCGAGAACAGGTTGCTGCTTTCATATTTCCAAAGGGTTTCCAGCATGGTAACAAAAGTGGGGTTTAATGCAAAGTAGGAGTACCTCTGAGCCCTGTTGCTTCCTTTGCCTCTTCTGTGACAGGACAGTGAAAGCTCAGACAGGTCTAATTCAGCTCAGAGTGATGATGCCCAGACGTGCCTGCAAGGAAAAAAAACCACATGAAAGCTGCTGCTCCTCTTGCTGTTTTCCAGCCCTCTGCAAATAACACTGAGAATTGTTGGAGGGGACTCAATATTAATCCAAGAGATAGTACCCTCTTTGTAGACACTGCTGAGACTCACTAACACTTTATTTTCATTGCACTGAGGGGTTTTTATCATTAAATAGGGACCCAGGATACATTTACTGTAGATTACTTTTATTTTTACTGCAGCATCGTTAGGCACAGAGCACTAAGGAGACAGGGGTGACCAGGACATGCTCAGCCGCAGTAAAACCCCTCGGTCCTGCCTCCACCACAATCCGAAATTCCCATCGATTTCCATGTAAAAAGCCCCATTTGCTGCTGTGCTGGCAGCTCGGTGTGCTGGGAGCTGCACTGACATCCTGCAGGAGCACAGCCTCGCCAGGCTGCTGGAGGCAGAACAGGGGCTGTGTTAGAGACGGGGGAACTGGGCACAGCAAGGGCAACACCCAAAAATTCCAAGTTCTTTTGGTGGCAAACCCCACCCGAAGCAGGTCCCTCAGTGAGCCTGCACTGGGCTCAGTTTGAGGCTTGCACTGGAAATTACTCTTCACATCTTAAGAGGAAACTGCAGGCAGCGAGGAGAAGCCAGACAGCTGTTGGCTTGTTCCTCACACCGGAAAAAGGGAATTAAAGAGACCTGACTGAACCCCAGGCAGCAGCCAGGAATCTGGATTTGCCTTTTTTTGGACCATCCACACTGGAGCTCCCAGCAGCTTGTGGTGCCTGTGCCAACAGGTGTGTCCCCCGTGCATGCTCACAGGGTGTCCTGCAGGACGGTCACTCCGGAGGGTCCCTGTCCCCAGGAACAGCACAGGGGGGCACCTCACCTCTCCCTCCTGGGTGCCAGAGGTGAGGCACAGGCAGGGATGGGGCTGCCCTCCCTCCCCTCAGCCTGGAGCCTCTCTCCTGACCACAGAGGAGCAGGGAGCAGGCGGCTGCTCTCCCAGGAACACACTTCAGGCTGGTGAGGAGAACAGCCGAGTGCTCAACAGGCTCTGGAAACAAGTGGAAGTCAAATAAGTTTGCCACTCTTTGTCCCCCTTTCAATATCTAGCTTTGATCAAAATCCTTGGATACTCAAGTGGTTGTTGACTTAATGTAGTAATGAGACATAGCCTTAAGTGAGGCCATTTCCGTGCCCATTCAGCCTCTCCAAGAGCAAGGGATGCAGGAGGAAAAGCCTCTCATGGTCTCTGGGAGCCACAGCAGAGCCTGGAGCAGAGGCCTGGCTCCAATTCCCAGGAGCTGCACCCTGTGCTCGTCCCCCAGAGCCCCTGCAGGGATGGCCTGGAGGAACGTGGGGCAACGCCCCAGCTTTGTCCCGGGCAGGTGACAGGGGACACGGGGGTGGGGGCAGTGCCTGGCCAGAGGCACAGCCCTTCTCTGATCCTCTGGGCAGGCTGTGGACCTGGGCAAGGCAGGAGGGAGGGAAGGGGCCAGGAGCCCGGATAAAAACAGCAAGCCCCGAGAAAAGTAAAAATTCTCCAAGTGACGGGGAGCAGCTCAGCCAATTAGGATTTTAATTCCCCTCGTTATGCACAGTCAGTCAATAAATTCTGCACCAAGCAGCTGCTCTAATTCTTAAGCCCATTAAGCCCTACATGTGATAGGCGGGCGGGAGGGGCTGCCGGGGGGCACAGACGGCGCTCCTCGAGATATGAAACATTTCCTCTTGTGCAGCTGGGTCACCCCACCCAGCCCACTCCGAACGGGAATTTTATCAGGCTGGCAAATAAGAATTTATATAAATATCCTGCCAGAGACACACACCCCACAGACAGGGAGAATAAAGAGGGGACTGGAGGAGATGTGCCGAGGGATCGTTGGTGCTGTAGCAGAGCAGGAGAGCAGAGCCAGAGGGGAGAGTCTGGGATGGAGCAACAGGATTTTGGTGTCTGAAGTGGAGGGAGAGGATCCCAAAGAGCTGGACAGGCAGCCAAGAGTGAAGAAAAGCAGGATCAGAGACGCAGGGAGGAAGAAAACTCACGGAGCAGTACGGCAAGCCCAGAGGGGGCTGGCTCTGACACAGGAAGGGACCAGGAGCTACGACAGCAATTCCTGGAGCGAAGGGGCAGATGGCTGGAGCAGAGGTATCCCACCGACTACAGAGATGAAAGGCAGCAGAGAAAAGGGAATATACTGGGAGTGGAAAAGCATTCAACAGCCAAAAGGGTTTTTGCGTGTTAATTGGCAACCAGCTAACACATTAATTACAAAGTTACTGCATGGTTAAGAAAGACAGCAGCAGCAGAGCAATTCACATTCCTCCAGGGATGTGCTCCCTGCTGAACAGCCCCTGCTCTAGGAATGCTGCCTGTGCCTGCTGACATCCAGCACCCTGAGCACCCCAAGCCTTGGGAGCCATGGCAAAACACAAACAGGACAGCAACTGCATCCACACCAACCCCACAGGCAGCCTGAGCTGAGCCTTCCCCTCTGCCACAGCCACCAAAAGCCTTCCCCAAACTTCACCTTCAATGAAATGGGGTTGCCACGCCAGCCCATCATCCCTCACACACTCCTGGGTACAGAACCACGACCACAGGCACAGGCAGCCCAGCTTCTGGCAGGGCTTCAACCAACAACCTCAGATTGTTACACAGCAAGAAACACGCCTGCCAAACCATTTGCTGACTACTCATGACCCTTGGAGACATCTCCACACTCAGCACTTGTTGACAGGAATGGGGACTTAAACATTTTCAGAGTTTAGGTCTGCCTTCTGGGGTTAAAAATCATGGCAACTTTAGCTGAGCTCTTACTAATCTCAGATTACTCTGAAAGATCAATTGCAGGACATGTGCATCCAGACAAAATTTATTCTCTTTCATCCCTTAGACACAGATATGAAAACAAGTTACCCACTGCAAATTGCATTCCCACTGCACAGCAGGAAAACATGGGCCCTCTGTCCCTGTCAGCTCCACCAGGCACTGGAGGAGTGAGCGGTGACGAGCCCTTAAGCTTTGGTCAAGGCAAGGGGCAGAAATGAAAGTTTGCTCAGTTCTGTGAACACGTCGGCTGCAAAGAGGCTGTTCCTATAATCCTATCCAGCCTCAAAATGTAATTTCCTCACTTGGAAGGCTGGCTGGAGCTGCTATTCATGTCTCAGCCCGAGCCAAAGCCCAATCTCTCTCCAAAGGCTGTTTCTAGACTGGGAGCCAAACACGGGTTTTATTGTGGGGAATCAAATGGAGCCCCCGGCGTGTGCTGGCACTTGTGGCACTCGAAGCCTCCCAGCAGTGCTGTGCTATCTCCCGCCCGGCACACGGCTCCTGAGGGGCAGGAACACAGCTGGGCTGGCATCTCCTGCTTCGCTCTCCACCTGGAAGCACCATGGAAAGCTACTGGCAGGGTGGGAGCAAGGGCGGACCCACATCCCAGCAAACCAGCAGTTTAGTGTAGAGGCAGCAGAACACCCCACCGAGGAAGCTGTGCTAACAGGGATGTGTAAGTGAGCACCAAGGCTGCTGCCCTGGGAAATCAGAATTACTCCATGATCCCCACCACTGTGGAGGCACTAAGTCGATAGCAGCAGCCAGGACCAGGAAAGTCACTCCCCAGCCCACTCCAGCCACAGGGTGCAGCTGCCCAGGCAGCTCCCAGCTCCAGGGATCCCACCAAAGCCAGGGTGGGTCCCAGCCTCTGCCCCCAGTACCTGCCCACACACAGACAGATCTCTGTATATTCACTGCAGCTCCTGCACAGCACAGGCTTGATAATTACGGCACAGAGCAGTGGCTGCTCCCAATAAATTAATTAGAAATGGCATCACTGTAATGTGATTAGTTGCCATCCCTCCACCTCGTAGATTGAGACAGATTTTGTTCCCGGCTCGTGTTTCAAACACCACTAGAAGCCCACTCGAGCAAGCCCGTCCAGAGAGGGGGACCTGCATTGCTGGGCACATGCTCAGGGCTCGGAGAAAGCGGTTTTAAAACCTTCACAGCTTGTCAAGGCCAATTTATTCAAGGTAATTAATCTGTCATTTTAAGGACATTATGCATTTCCTCCACAAGTCAGCTGTCTCCTGCAGAGACATCTCAGTGTTGCTGGCCCCAGGAGCACGAGGCTCAGGGGTCAGCCCTTCCCCTCCCAGACCATGGCATCAGCTGGAAATTCATGATCATATGGACTGGCTTCTCCCCCTTGCCTTCTCGAGGCTCTCTGTTTCCTCTCAGCTGTGAGCACCAGGAATTAAGTGCAAGTTTGAATTCCAGACAAAGATCACTGAACACTCCAAGCCCAAGGAACGCACCTCAAAGGCCTGTGGCTGCAGTGACAGGAGTCAATCCTCCAGATCTGGAACTGCAGCAACTGCAACCCTCCCCTCCATCACCTGTGGCAGGGACACAGATGTGAGCAAAGAAATCTCTCCATCACTTCCGATTACCCCAGTTAGTGATGCAGCAGGAAATGGGGTTCCTGGCAGTCATTAGCATTAATTATCCCACAATGCCCCACCCCTGAGGAGTGACTGAAGATGCTGTGGCACACTCAGCAATGCACTGACTGTACCTGCCTGTCAATTGTCCTCCTGCAGCAGAAAGAATTTTAATGGACTGGAACCAGAAGGCCCTTTTGAGGGAACAGGCAGCAAACCCTGCCGAGGGCAGTTCAGGCACTCCGTGCGCTCCCAGTACAATCCCGGGCGCTGGTACATCCCTGGCTATGACACACCAAATGGAGATCAGAAGGAACAATAGTCTGTAATCAAGGATATCTGCATAATAGCTTTCCTGAAGGATGTTTGTGCAGGTGAGCGAGGAGTAAAGCATTGTTTCATCAAATGGTAATTTCCTTGTATCTCAGAGAATGAATCCCATTCGCTCGCCAGGGCATAATTCAATTAAAGGGGAGAATTCTGCGTGAGAGAACGAAATCTATCGGTCTGACTGGGATGCTGCAAATCACACCACGCAAGAAAATGGCATTTAGTCCTGACATTATG